TCACTTTAAGCAGAAATTAGAACAAATTTTTTTAAAGACCTTCCTCAGTATTATTTCTCTTATATTTGACTAGCCTGATACCCGTGCTTTGCTATGGTATTTAAGTTCCATAAATACAGTTATAATACTGATGATGTGAAGTTTGAAATGTAACATTTGTTGTAGGACTTCTAATGGAGAAGATTGTAGTGTGAAAAATGAAGCGAGGCATACATACTTGCTTTTTCTCTCTCTACTGAAGGACCTCTCTGTAGACCACATTGGTGGTTCTGCCCTCACCCGGGGGGGGGGGGAAGCAGCAGCCTGCCAGGCACATGGAAAACAATTGGGGGAACACATTTTGCCCCTTTTTTACCCCCTTATGGGTCATGTTTCTCAGAAATCTCTTTGGGGGGGGGTTGACATCATGGAAGGAATGCCCTCCCCTTATGTTGGGTTTCTTGGTGCAGGGGTTTGGCCTCTCATTTATGTTACATTTAAGAAGTGGGACATAACTACGTATTCAAGACACCATCCGAGCAATCAGATATTAAGCAAGTTCATATGAATCAAGTTTCTAGAACCCACATTGTGAGAAGTTAAATAAACTAATAAAGAAAACCAGTTTTCTACAGATTTGGGGTATATTTCCATTGTGGGTGGGAGTGTGGCAAAGCTGGGCCAGCAGCACTGCTAAGGTGATCCTGCTGGGGTGGCATCCCTGATGGATTAAAGTACCCTGGTCCTGCTCCTACACCTGACAGACACCTGCCTGTCTGGTGTTGGGGAAGATTATGTTTAAAGGCATCAGAAATGGAGGAAAGCCAAGGCAAATGCCTTAGGATGTACAAGTGATGCTTTAAGAAAGAAGCAACTGAGCACCAGGAAACACACGGATGGACACTGTGGGCACTGTGGCACCAACAGATACCATGTTGGGGATCACTGCTTTACAACCACCATTACTGCATATCTCCTGATTTTATTTGGAAATGTCAGTCTCAGACTGCAAGATGTCAAGCTTTATGTTTTCCAGTTGACCACACTATACTTTGAAGAGTGCAACTCTGTTTAGGATTGCACTGTTAGTAGCCTAAGACTACGAATCCTGCATTTCCACCATTGAAACCCTGCATTTCCACAATAGAAATAATCTTGTTCCTCCAGAATATTTCCTAACAGCCATACTAGTCTGGTGTCACAATATGAATTATGCGTTACATAGTTTATTTGTCAGAAGCACTGGAATGAAAGCTATTACATGAATCATTACTACTGACGTTCTCAATGTGTGGATTTATTGTTTTTACTGCTACTAGAATGTGTAACCTGTGGGACAGTCTACTGAACAACTGTATACATTCTGAGAGGTATCTTTTACCTTAAGTGCAATGACAGTCAGTGGATTAAATGTTGTGAAATGCTACCTAGTGGAAGATTCAATTTCATTCAACCCAGCAACCAAACAATGAGACTGATTGTTTGGTACTTGGTGCTCCTGCTACCCTTTAGCTAGTACTTAAAAGCCATGGCATTTTGCCTTCTTAGTGGGAAAATAAATATGTCTTCTCTGAAATGCCAAGAAACTGTAGTTGGACCAATATTAAACCGATCAAAAATCATGTGAAATTAAAACTGGGATACTAGGCTACCCATGGTTATTCTTGAGGAAAGAGTATGACATCTTTTTCTCCCAACAGAACATTCCATATTTGCTATGCTGATGTTGTTTAAAATCTTTGGTCACAATCCAGAGAATATTTTAAAGTGTGCTAGCTCCTTTCCTCCTCTTTCCCCTCCAAATAGTCATCTCCTGTGTTATGCTATACATATCTGTAGAAAACTCTCTATGATGCAGTGGGATCACACCTGAGGGCCTCAAGTCTGACTTCCAAGTGTTTGGATGTTTGTCTACATAGAGCCTCCACAGATAAGCAGAGAGAGTTTTACACTCAGTTGTATGTGCCTAGGCTGTGTGCAGATGTTCACCCAATCAGCTAAAGATTGAGAGCAGAGACCACACTCGTAATACCCCTGACACCCTCCACACACCCAAGTGACCTTTGTAAGTGGCTTTTATACCTGTCTGGACTGTAACTACATTCTTTGTCTCTGTAGTATTCTTTTTCAAGGCTAGAGCTTCCTGACCTGTAAACATTTCAGACAGTTCACACAGATATTGCTTGTGTAAAATGGCTATCCCTGGAGAACTGAGAAGGATAATTATGCAATTAATCAGTCAACTACTACGTTTCTAGGAAAGTGTAATTTGTGCACATACAGGAATGAATTAGGCTATAATGGAGATTTATTTTTATTTTATTTTTTTGGTTAGGGAAATTCTACAGACTCTGCTGATCTGAAGTCCATTAAATTAATGGATTCAGTTCAGTTCTCCCAATGGACTTTGGTTCATACCTTTAGACAAAATGAGAGATTAATGGCCATCATATTGTTCTTTGCTGTTACTGTGCTGACTACGGGCCATGCAATGCTCTTTATGCACTTGCTGAAATACAATGAGCACTGTGCCCTTTCTGCTATCTCAAGATTGTTTTCCTCTTTCACTTGTAAGTAATAATGTAATATTTTGATGAAATAGAATCAAGTAAAGATTAAGAATGGCACAGTCTCTTTGTTCCTTTGTTCTCATGGACTGAGGGTGCTCCTATTTTAGTGTTGTTGAGAGCCCTCTGCCCACTGCAAGAGCCAGTGTGGTGTAGTGGTTAAGAGCTGCAGACTTTAATCTGGAGAAGTGGGTTTGATTCCCCACTCCTCCATATGAAGCTGGCTGTGTGACCTTGGGCCAATCACAGTTCTCTCAGAACTCTCTCAGCCCCACCTACCTCACAAGGTGTCTGTTGTTGGGAGGGGAAGGCAATTGTAAGCTGCTTTGAGACTCCTTAAGGCAGAGAAAAGCGGGGTACAGAAACCAACTCTTCTTCTTTTACTCCTTTTAAGTAAGCATGCTGTAAGCATCAACATGAACATAATCACCAGGAGAACACACCTTTGTCAGTTAGCCTCAATATTCTCTGGCAGAGTTCGTCATGAGTACAGTACAGTGCTGAACAGCTTTGCAGCTATAGATGCTTGGTCATTGCCGTTGCTTTTGGTCAGATCAAGAACTAAATCGTCTCATTGAACAGTAATATATCTCTGAGTTATGGTCATGGCTGATTTTTATAAAGTGTGGAATCACCTGCATTTTGTCTCTTGTTTTCATCTGCACACTTGGATGCATACTTTAAATTACCAATATTAACTAGATTGCATTGCTTGCTTTTGTACCTGTGCACTCAATGGCACTTTGAGAAGTGATTAAAAAAACCTGTGTGTTTAGTTGTGTTTGTGGACAGGCATTAAAAGGTACGCATAGACACTGTGTAGTACATTTCAACTAAAAATGTCAAATATTTGTTTCCCACATTGACTATGTGTTCTAAAAAATCAGCTCCCTGCTTGTGAATGACAAGTAGGACAACAGCCAAACTAGCAAATGGGTGTAACTACTTTTAAGTAAGTAGTTTCATGACTACAATTTTTGTGAGATTCATCTGTAATGTAATCTTAACAAGCCACTTGAAATTGATGGGCAAACAAAAAAACCGTGGAAGTTCCTCCATCCCTATTCACTTTTGCTTTGATAGACAAAGCAAATTCCTTATACAACCAGAATATTGATTTCTGCATCAGTTCTAGATTTTTAAGGCTGAAGTCAGCGTTTCATAAAATAGATGTTAACTGGACAATGATGCCTTTAATATTTGCAGTGACTGGTTTGGTAAACATTAACATCTATCTTGATTAAAAACCTTGTCCTGCATTTCCTTTGCTGTGTACACATATAGCCATTTATAAATTTCTACCACGTACCATCTAATTTCAGCTGTATCCTTAAGCCTTGGCTATTAGGCAATCCAACAACGACTCAAGGTTTTCATTGATTTTGCAACCTATAACAAAGTTAGCAGTATTTGAGAGAAGCACATGTGTGAGCTCTACCCCATGTAAAAAAAAAATCATCAGAGCCATGGAGGGTGAATTTTCAGCCTTCTGGGAACTCTTTTCATGTTCATTTGCTTACTAATGTTCATGGACCCCTGGCATGATACCCCTGCATATTGGAAAGTATTCTTGAGCAATATTTTAGAGCACACTGTTGGACCTGAGTGAATTAGGAATACTCCCAAAAACCTGCCCTAGTCATTGGCTTTGCACTGAATGAGATCAGTAAAGTTGGACAAGCTGCTTTTCTTGGAAAAATGCTCTGCAATTACTAATCTTCTGTTGGAGGAACTTTCAAGGAGCCTCAGAGGTCACCAAAACAGTTTTGAAAACTGCATGTCTTAGCAGAAGCATGTGTGTAGTCTAAAAGTGCTACTGTATTAAACATCCAGGGAGAACACATAATAATGCCATCATAGTAAGAGGTGTAGAAGAGCAAAACTACCATGTTGGAACAGACATGGCCTGAGGCAAATTTAGAAGGGGGGGAAATGCTCTCTTGCTGAATAATTTTACTTCTAAAACATGGGTAAACCACCCTAATTCCTTTATAATCCTTGTTCTCTGAGGGTCAATACACTGAGGTGTTTTACCCTCACTTCATACTTAGTAGGAACCATTTCCAAGCCCACATGTCATTATTTTCTAATTAAATAATCAAAAATTATATTTGCATGTGATTAGCTCATAAATTCCTTTTAACGGGTGTCTTGCTTCAGAGCTAGCCTGGAGTTGATAAATCTTTTTGCAGATGTCAATTTGGTCAGCAGTAAAGAGGTAAATAGAAACTAATGACACTCATCAAGTCCGTGGCATGAATGATTTATTTGACACAATAATTTGTACAGTTTCATAAAGTCAAAATGAGGTAAAATAGCTTTCTTATCAAGGTAAACTGCATTTGTCCTGTCAGCACGACTTGATTGATGACAAACCAGTGGCCAGGATTAGGATATTATAAATGGAAAAAGATGAAAGGCTTATTAATTTTTTTTTAATATATATAACCACAGGTAGAAGAAATGCAGTGGGGTAGCAGACAGCGAATGCATCCAACATCAGTCTGTAGCTTGCCGTGCAAGCCTGGGGAAAGAAAGAAAACGGTGAAGGGAGTGCCTTGCTGTTGGCATTGTGAACGCTGTGAAGGCTACCATTACCAAGTGGATGAATTCACCTGCGAAGTGTGCCCATTTAATAAGAGGCCCAACCTCAACCGCACAGATTGCCATCTTATCCCCATCATCAAGCTGGAGTGGCATTCCCCATGGGCTGTTGTGCCTGTCTTCATAGCAATATTCGGGATCATTGCAACATCCTTTGTCATCGTGACATTTGTTCGCCACAATGATACACCAATTGTCAGGGCCTCCGGACGCGAACTCAGCTACGTCCTCTTGACTGGGATTTTTCTCTGTTATTCCATCACTTTTTTAATGATTGCAAGTCCGGACACTGCTGTGTGCTCCTTACGACGGATCTTTTTAGGGCTTGGAATGTGCTTCAGTTATGCAGCCTTGCTCACCAAAACAAACCGAATCCACCGAATATTTGAGCAAGGCAAAAAATCTGTCACTGCTCCAAAATTCATCAGTCCAGCTTCCCAACTGGTGATTACTTTCAGCCTCATATCCATACAGCTTTTAGGAGTCTTCATCTGGTTTGCTGTGGATCCCCCACATATCATAGTGGACTATGGAGAGCAGAGGACTCTTGATCCTGAGAATGCCCGGGGGGTTCTGAAATGTGACATCTCTGATCTCTCTCTCATTTGTTCTCTTGGATACAGTATTCTTTTAATGGTAACATGCACTGTTTATGCTATTAAAACAAGAGGTGTTCCAGAGACCTTCAATGAAGCAAAACCAATTGGATTTACTATGTATACAACCTGTATCATTTGGTTAGCTTTCATTCCAATCTTTTTTGGAACTGCACAGTCAGCAGAGAAGGTGAGTGACAGTAGTTGATCCTTATTTTCAGTTGCAATGTCTATGTGAACTCACAGAAGATTCATTATAAAGACTGAATTATAAAGTTTCTTGAGGAGAGCACACTATTACACAGTCCAGTTCAGAAAGCTTCTTCTAACCAGAATGTGTTTCTAAAAGCATTTACTTCAGGAGTGTGTTTAAATTTAATACAGAGTGCAACTCTTTAGTAATTTGGTAGCCTGAAATATATTGCTTCTATTAATGTCATCAAATTAACATCTTTCTTCCCTGTGGCCTTGTAGTTTATGGGACATTAATGACTTTCCAAATTTACAAAAATAATTGATCAGAATTATGAAGGTATTATCTTTGCAAAGAGGAAGAGGAAATTGATTTTTAAAAGGACTGAGAATGTTGAGCACATTGAGTATTTATGAAATTATTCTATGGTTCAGCACAGTATTTAGTATCTCTGGCCCAGTGTGTTGAGAAACCAATCCTTTTTGAAGATGCTGTAAACTGTTGTATTATTCATTTTCTCTGGTTGTGTAGTGTTATATATAATATATGTTATAGAACCCCAATTTGTTAATGTATTAATTGATCACATCCTATTTTTGTGACTTCAGAATGGCAGTTTCTAGGTGGTATATTCTCTTTCCTTTCATCTGAGGAGCAGACATCTTTTAAGTCCTCTGAACCAAGGAGGAAGGAGGCAGGTATTAATTAAACAGTATCTCTGCTGTTACCCACAAACTGAAGGTTAGATGTTTAAGCATTCCTACACATGCAAATCCCAGATTTGGGTTTCAGGATCTGAGTCTCTATATACACAGATCCAAGTTCACACAGTATTTTCTGAGAAAAGAAAAGAAGCACATGTACTTAACTAGGTTGACTTTATTGTCTAAAAAGTGGATGAAGTAAAGGCAAGAGAGATTGGCAACTTAAATGACAATCAACAGTAAAAATACTTTGGTAATTAAACAAGTCCTAATGTTAACAGTAATTATTGTTCCCAGCTGTGTCTCACCCCCTCAGCTAATTTAAGAGGGAACCCACCCATGGAAAGAAGCAGGTTTGAATATGTGTCCCAGAAGGGAACAGGAAGGGAAGGAGGAATGAGAGTGAAAGAGTCCTTAGTTGCTCAGGGTTGTTGAGGAAGAGAAGTGGAGTGCAAGGTTGACGTTTGTGGAGATTGGTCTGAAAATGGTTCAGAATAGTTGGAGGAGCTGGAAATGGCCAAGGCCTGGGGAGACAGGGGCAAATGAGCTGAGAGAGGGGGGGGACATGCATGGGGAGGGAAGAACAATGCTGGAAACTTAAACATACTCTGTCTTTCAGAGTAATTGTAGTCTCAGAATGGCTGGAGTCAGGTCTGGAGGAAAATCCTAAACCAAAATGCTAGATTAAATTTGGGTTATTTATCCTAGGTTTATGTCTGTTTGGGGGCCCTTGTGATAGCAGCAGAACGTCAAATATTACCATACTAGTGACAGTACTAAGGCTTATGCTGATTTTGACAAGACTGACTCAGGAAGGTGGCTACATTGCCCTGTCCAATGAAATGATATTGTTTTGGAAATCTATTTTAGTATTCTGGAATAATTCCTGTACTGGGATGAAGGATCCAACTAGGGTTGCCAAATGGGGGTGGGGGCGGGGAAACCCCCGCTTTGGCTGCCCGATTTCCGCCGTGGTGGAATCGGGCCCCGGGAGGAACTCTGCCCCCCAAAGCTGTGTCACCAGAGGTGACGCAGCCACGTTGCTGACGTTGGGGGCGTGGCTGAGCTCGTTGGGGGGAAAACCACATGGTTTTCCCCCCGGCGAGCTCGACCACGCCTCCAACGTCAGCAACGTCGCACGTCACTTCCGGTGACGTGGCGGCAGAGCGCGCGCGCGCGCATACGGACCTTCTCCCGTACTCGTCGGAGCCTCCCCCGCCGGTAAGTTTGCCAGACTTGGCAACCCTTGATCCAACCCCCATCCTTACCCATAGTGGCAAGTCCCCTCCACCTCCAACAGTGGGGAGAATCCCCTAACTGACAAACAGCAGCAATCCTCGCAGCATGCCACATACCTTTGAAGGCTGTTGTGCACCAGGCCCAGCAACTCAGCAGCACAGCAGCAAGTAAGGGCCCTGTTGCTTCAGGTTCCTGCCTACAGGTGGAGCAAAGGTTGGGGAAAGGAGGTCAGGGTAGACATGCTGACAGACTTTTAGGCTGGGGACACTGCCCAAACCACTTGTCAGATCCCTAGGCCAAGGTTCACTGGGGTGATATGGTAAACTCCCCTATACATCCTTGACATCATATGACCCTAGGGTTTGAGGTAACACTGTCAAACATGTCAATGTCTTTGCATAATTTGTGTGTGTGTCATGCTTTTTTTTATCTAGCAGCTTGAGCTCAGAGATATTGCACTTCTACACCTGGAGTCCAAATTTAGCCATCATAGCTGACAACCACTGTGATAGATCTATCTTGCATAATATTACCTTTTTAGAAAAAACTCTAAGCTAGCAACCAGCACTAGTTATTATAGTAGTGAATTCCAGAATTTAATTATGCATTGTGTGAAGAAGTATTTCCTTTTGTTTATTCTGAACCTAAAGCAGTCAGTTTCATTGGATGACCCTAAGTTCCCACATTCTGAGTGAAAGAGAGTAATTTCTCTTTTGTATCTGTTTGACTCAGACTGGCATGTCTTTTGTTCAGCAAGCTCATCAGCTCCATGCTGTGGGCTTTTTCTGATTCTTTCATTTTAACAGAGAACAGCCAATGATGGTTGCTTTAGTTCATAGTACTGCTTAGGTAGATCTTTATAAGTTTTACTTTTGGAAGTGTAAACTCAGCACTACTGCTTGTTCATGAGAAGAAGAAGAAGAAGAAGAAGAAGAAGAAGAAGAAGAAGAAGAAGAAGAAGAAGAAGAAGAAGAAGAAGAAGAAGAGGAGGAGGAGGAGCACTCCTTTCCTTCCCCCTCCCCACAAAAGACTCCCTGTGAAGCAGGCGGGGCTGAGAGAGCTCTGAGAGAAACGGCTCTTTTTCAAGAACAGCTCTTATCAGAACTATGGCTTGCCCAAGGTCATCCAGCCAGGTGCAAGTGGAGGAGTGGGGAATCAAACCCGGTTCTCCCAGATTAGAGTCTGCACACTTAATCACTACACCAAACTGGCTCAGATTTAAACTGAGGTGATGAGATATGCTAAAAGTATACACTCACTCTCTCACATACAACACATAATGGGACAATATCACAGACAATGCCCTGACCTGGTTGGCCCAGGCTAGCCTGATATTCTCAGAACTCAGAAGCTATGCAGGGTTGGTCCTGGTTAGAACTTGGATGGGAGACCACCAAGGAGGTCCAGGGTTGGTATGCAGAGGCAGGCAATGGCAAACCATCTCTGTTTGTGTCTCGTCTTGAAAACTATACAGGGTTGCCATAAATTTACTGCAATTGAATGGCAGTTTCCACCTCCCCTTTCCCCTCACAGAAAACCGGTTTACGTGACAGGAAAGGAGTTCATGGAAGTAGATCTTCCCCTCCTTCCTCTTCAGCCTCCTGTGAAGTGGATGCTGAAATCAGGGCAGTCTTACCCAGAGTCTCTTGGTCTTGTGTCCCCTGTATATTTCTCATGACATTTTGTTCAGAGAATTCTCCAGTCCTCACCATTATGTTTTAAAGGGGCACAGAAGGTTTTTGGAGGTAGGGACAGCATGAAAGACCCACTCTGGTGAACTCCTTCCATTTGGACCTGAACCTACAAATATAAATCTCAGGTAACGTAAAATTTGAAGCAAGATCCATCCATAATAATTTCAGCATTTTTACCAGCAAAACCCAGAAATCTTGAAAACTCTGAACATCAGAGCTGGTTCACATGCTTCATTACCAAGCTGTCATGTGTGTTAAACTATTGCAAGTGCTCATGTGAAAAGAATGAACTACCTTTTAGTATTCCTGTACACTCCTGTCAACAGATCCACTTCCATCAGCCGGGAACGCTTTGAAAACAGAAAATGTCTTCTCAGAGATTCTGAAATGTTTCATAAAGCTCCTTTTCAAACCATTCTTTTCCTTGCCTGTTGTCACACTTCCCCCCTCATCATATTCTCACATGAACAAAAACAAGAAAGTAAAATTATGCCATGTCATCACTCACCAATTCAGTTTGTGCTGGTTTCTTTTCAGCAGTAAGTAAAATTGACTACTTCGTGATACTAGTAGCACCTTGAATACTTTACAGTTTGGGCTATTATTTGATCCTGCCTTAAGGTCCCTGATTTTTCATTCTGTCAGCTAAGAGGATTAAATGTATATACCAGTGCCCAGTTTTAAAAACCTGCCAATGCTGTTCTAGGAGGAGGAATCACATATATAGAAAAGTCACACACATTTGTTCTGGGTCAAACAGAAATGAAGTATTGCAGAAGTACTGGCTTTGATTCAGTCTAAGGATAGATACAGTCCAAGTCAAGACACGCATAAGCCTTATGAAAGAGCTAAACTTGTGTTTAAAGCCCCAGGACATAAATCAGTTAAACTTTGGCTTGATCATATCCTGTATTTGAACAGATGAAGCCGCCTCATACTGAGTCAGACCACTGGTCTATCAAAGTCAGTATTGCCTACTACAATGATACTAACTCCGTGCCTTACAGAGAGTCACATTCACAATGAACATCAGCACAGAGTGCCACAATTACTTCCATTCCTGACATGAGGCTTTCTCCTCCGGTAGGCTTACAGTTAACTACTTCCTCTGGCAGCAGCTGTTTCAAGGTAGGAACCCCCTTGCCACCTACAAGACCCACCGTGCCCGCTTTGCTAACACATGGGGCAGGTGCCAGACTGGGAAACTATTTATTTATTCATTTATTTGATTGATTGATTTTTACCCTGCCCTCCCTGCCGAGGCAGGCTCAGGTCAGCTTACAAGAATAGCATACAAAGATAAAACCATTCAATTATACAAAGATAAAACCATTTAAAGCAGTTTAAAACATGAAGTGCT